TGTAATTCACTTGATAAATACAATATTGTGGGCTTGATTTCAAGTCAAATTTTCTTTCTTTCTTTTGTTGTCGTTGTTGTTGTCATTGTAAAAAAAAGCCCTAATAACTTTAAAATGTACTAAATGAAATGCATATTATGTCTACGACTTAACAGTTACTTTACATTCGAAAGAAAAAAGGTTTTGTTTTACTTTTGTAGTATCTATAAAATATTTATAAAATCAAGAAATAATATTATGTAATTTCATAATTGCTGTATTTCAATATAAATCTAGGCTAATAAGAATGTTGTATTGCTTATTGTATAAGTTGCTCTAGAAAAGTACAAATCAGTCTACAGGGTACAATGAAATTTGTAGATAAATCATGTTTTGAAAAGAGCATTCTATAAATCTTATGAATCTCTTGAAAAAAAAACTATTTATATATGGTTATCCCATATTATTCATTTCATACTATTTGTTAGAGGAAAGTTATGAATATTGTCTTTCCAGTTTTGAATCGATAGTAGAATCTAGAATATATATTGTGGGATTCGAACTCACTTACATGTTTTGAAATCTTTGAGTAAATATTTTCTTTATTAACTGATTTAAATACAAAATTTATTTATTATTTAATCAGAATTTTTTTACTTAGTTAACTGTATGTACCTTAATATACTACTCAACTAATTTAACGTTCTATAGTAAAAGGATAATTAATAACCCTTCATATGATAGTGTAAAAAGTTAAAATCCCTGCACTAATCGCCTCATTATACTACCTAACTTCAATAATAATTATCAAACTCGTCTAATTTTGTGTTCGTCTAGTTTTTTTAAGTGGATATTAGATACTCAATGATGATGTTTCAAAAATTAATATAGTGAATCATACTTCGTTATGAATACAGACGACTATCAAAGACGTTTTTCTTGTAAAGGTTTATTGATGATTAAATTTAAGTTTCAAAGCACATTATCTCAATTATATGACCTATAATTAATGTATTAATTATAAAGCTTCCTATAGATTATTGATCATAAACTTTGAGAATCCTACTCTCGTACTCTCAGTCATTTAGCTGTACATTTCTTCCATCTATGTGTCCAATCAAAGAAAATCACCATTCTATATGATGAAAGTCAAGATAACGCAATACCTTTTTAAAAAAATCGGGATTTTTATGTGATTCTCAGTAATAAATTGTTCTAGACTGCATAGAATATAATAATAATTTACAATAAAGAACAAATACACTTGGTGTTGTTTTACTTGTATCTTCCCATTTTTATTCAGGACTGCAATTGATCAGTCTCATGTTGGCACATGCGCATCTTGTGCGGATTGCCTAGATATAGCCTTAAGTCACAAGCATTCTCAGCAAAAATGAATAGTGGTTAGCAATGGAATCCAGGACGTGCGTTTCGTTCTAATTGAAACTCGTCAGCTGGATGTACCTGCATCGCAGAGTTGATGTTCACTCCGGGACTCGAACATCAACTCTCTTTAATTCGATCTTCTGCTGCCGGACATTCTATATCCGATTGCGGCTACATACTATTTATATCTGTCAGCATAAGTAATTTACACAAGAGTACAATCTATAATTAAAATTATTTCAGATTTGTTCCCAAATACGTAGCTTGCACTTGATTTCATTCTAAATTTCTTTATTGTCTAATTATCATCCTTATCTTTAAACATTTAAATACTTAGCTACTGTATGTTTTCGATTCCAAATTAAGATGTATTTTCTCGATTGATTTTCTGGTCTTACATAGTTGCACCATACGGAATCCTAACGATTATCGTTAAGGTTAAATAATTGAATTATTAGCTCTAGTTTTGTGGTTAGTCAATGAAAATCTTAATTGGGCAAGTAATCACAACAAAGTAACGTTTCATACAAAGTAACAACATTAAGAATACAGAAAACAAAATGTTTAACCATATCGATAAAATTCTCTAACCCATAACACACGTGAACAGCGATTGAGTTTTAATTGTGCAACAAGGTAGTAAAATAAATTTAGCAACCCTCTCTTTATCGACTAAAAATTCTTATACTAATTGTATATCCTTCATCCGTCGGTTTGAAAATTTAATTATCCAAAAAATGACAATTAATGAATCACTGAAACGAATAGAGCATAGAATACATATTTCGTTCCGATTGGGAACTTTTCATCGCAGTATGTTCAGAAGAATTAATACTGAGTACCACTGTTTTGTATTTATTGCATTGTGCTATTTTACCACAAAACTAACATGATTAACTTTAAAGCTAAGTCAACCAATCTTTATGTTGTGTAAATTCCCTAATACTTTAATCGTTAAACTTTAAAATGAAAGGATATTGAATGTACCAAGATGTAACATCACTTCACCATATTATTAATTATTCAAAATATATAGTCACTATCATGTAAAACCAGTGCCAAATATGAATTATACACATTTTATTAATTAATTCGATAAGAACATTGATGCTACTCGAAACGAAACACAATAAAATGTCAGAGGAATGACCTAAACATTTTGTTACATACGCTATTCAAATACTTACCAATTAACAAAAAAACAATGTTGGACTTCAGTTAATGTTGAATATTGTTATAAGAAAATATGTTGAGATAGCACAACTAATGGCATCTTAACATAATGTTAGGAAAAAGCGAACAAAAGGGAATCGTAAATTTATGTATCTAGTGTTTAACAAAATTATTCATCGAACAGTTATTTCAAATTACTTTAAATTAATTGTAACTTTATACTCTTTTTGACCCATTATTTCATTGAAATTATAAATCAATAAATTTAGGTCACCAGTGGAAACCTGGACGACCACTTATGTCCCGGTAAGGGACTTCTCAGCAGGGCGCGTCCAGATAATACATGCGGGAAATCGACCCATGATCCAGCGCCCAAACTCTGAGCAGGCATCTAACGGTGTTTATGTCCGACTTCAATCGAACCTCGAAATAGTGCTACAACCTTCAATTGCCTTCGGTGGGTAGCTGTCTCACAACAAACATGGATTAGCTTCACCTGTCAATTATGACCACTGATTATTGTTAAATATTACAATTACTAAACATAGGAATGCCTAATACCATAGATATATTCCACACTAAACCTCGAAATTGTTATATCATGATCAGGCATTTTACTTGAATAAGCACGTAAGTTAAGAATCAGAACGACAAGCGATACTCACCTTGTTTTTGAATGTTCTGATTGGTGTGAGAACTTACATAATTCATTTATCGTGTAAAAACATGAAATGTGTTGATTTTTATGACGTGAATGATATGTGTATATATAACAGTAATTTTTATTCAGTGAATACTGTTTCACTTTTGATATAAGCAGTCAATAGTATTATTGACAATCACACAAATACATGAATGACAGATAAGTATATTAACAGGTAATAGTTACATCTAATACTATCTCCAGAAACTGACCAGAATTACTTCTCAAAATACACATAAGGTTACATAACAAACAAATGGATAATCACCTAACAGTTAGTATTCGTTCCAGAGAGTATACTAATCAAACAAAGGCTTGTCCGTACTCAATAACTTCCTACCGATCAAGTACAGTTTACTCATCAGCAGTTATTAACGTCGAGTGAACTAGCAGGCTCACGAATGACGACCAAAAGCAAAAGAATACCTGATGATATATCCTGATTTCTGCATTTCATCAATCGTTTTTTAATACGGATACTATACACAACATAAAACGACCCAGCACATAAGCAGAGGTGAATGGTAACCAGTAGGAAAATCCGGCATGCGTTTCGTCCTATTCGGGACTCGTCAGCTGAATCGGAGAGTTGATTCTCACTCCGCGACCCGAACCGGTAATGTTTGCTTCAAACGCCACCGTGTTTCCCACTTAGCTTGTTCAATGGGGTAAATTTCAATTCACATCGTCACACAGATGTTTAGGACTGCAATTTACCAGTTTCTTTTGGCAGATGTGCATCCTGTACGGATTGCTTTAAATTATTAGAATTATAAGCATTGATTGATGGTGGCTAGTTTTAGAGTGAACAACAACTCTGGAATGCATGTACATTGAATTAACAAGTCCCAAATGGGAGAAAACGTACGTGCTGGATTGCACTGTTAGCCACCATCCATCTCTTCTTATAATGCTTGTGACTTGTGAGAATATCGAGGTAATCTGTACAGGATGCACATATGCCAAAAGACACTGATCAATCGCAATCTCAAGTATCAATGAGATAATTCAAACAATCAGTACAAATCAACATGGCAACAGATGTTTATTAGTCTATTAACATGAGGAACAAGCACTATGTTACGTCAATTCACGTATTGGAATATCTTCAAATTCCTGTTTGATCATTTGGTAAAGCAATAGTATTTATGCTTGTAAAAAGGGCTGATAAATAAAACAAAATGCATCAACATCGCTTTTATTTTTTCCGTATTATTTTGACCAAAATCAACCAATATTGATTTGATAGTCAAGTCAACATTTGCTGATACCGTTAATGAAAATGCCATAATTTAAATATGAGATCACTAAAACGTATAGACATGTTAGAAGTTATTTATTTTAATCGTTGCAATAGCCAAAACAAATGAACATTGATTATTGCCTACGAATAACATTTTCATTGTCGATTATTTGTTTACTAAATGCCAGGTAATACATAGTCAGACAAATTTCCGTGCAAGTAAACAACTGTAATATTCTAAATTGTATACACACGATCAGTTAACTAAAGGCTTTCATCTTTAGAAATCTGCTTAGTAGAAATCTAGTCCTAAATCACATGATCAAACTATTACTTGAACCCCTTCAGTCGTATTAAAAAATCCATTGATCTATTTGAACAATAATTTAAAAAATTGGTGATAAGTATGAAATTTTTCAATCATTTTGATCTATCAGTTCAGTATAATTTAAGAAATTATTTAGCGGATACGGTCTTTCATCTATCTAATCATTATATATATATATATATATATATATATATATATATATATATATATAAGATGGAAGAAAATTTCAACCGAATTGAAGCAAGTAACGTAATACGATGAAAATCTGTTATGATTCATGCACAGATATAGAAGAACAGACAACTCAATTGTCAGATAACAAAATATAATAGAGAAACGATGAAAGAATGTAAGAAAAAATAATATGATAAACGATTTATGAGGGAAAAAATAAAAAAGGATATAATGTAATGCTAATAAGTAGAAAAAAACTAATGATAAGGTTACAAATAAAAATATACCATTCATATATAGCAACAATGAGAAACTCTATAAATTTGCCTTAATATAACGACTTTAAGACATATGTATATACATAAATATGAATATAATATGTACGTATACTAAAATGGACAAAAATTATTTTAAAAAGATGGGAAATGAGTAGAATAGACAGCGCCCATGTTTAAAGCGAAATTAATATACTCAAGCATAAATTAATTGATAAATATTTCAGATTTATTCCTATTACATATGTATATTGGTCATCAAAGTTTATACGGTGTTTCAACTCACAAAAATAAGATAAAGGAAATAGTAAGAGTTGATTTATATGGTGAATACACTTGAAAATCCCTTATTCAACAGTGACAGAGCAACATTTGTAAGTGACAGATATTACACAATGGTGATGACATTGAAAATGATAATCATTGTTTTCTAAAGGAAGAAATGTAACATTAAATAGCAATTTTCGTTCTGGAAAAAATCCATGCGGCACAGAAAATAAACCGAAAATAATCATCAATAAATGAAATTTGTTAGGTCCTCTTTTCGTGGTTCGCTATAACTCGAATAAATGGTTTTTAAAATATGATAGGGTCACGTTTTCTCATCTACAAAAAGTATGTAGGACATGTGGAAGAAACCGCTCCTTTATATATATATATATATCAACGAAGATATAAAAAAAGATATAAATTCCATGTTTTAACTATTTGCACATTCCTTCAATACTCTACGATACGAATACAAGCAATTGTAAAAATGTTTCAAAGAACAACAAGAAGCCACAGATGAAAAGAAATGATGGATCAAATGTTCTATGTGTAACATTATTTTGAACAAAGTTCTACGTAGTTTGCAGGATATAGACCAACACGACCATCTTTTCGTCCTTTACACCAACCTTGATCATCAGGTTCTTCAAGTTTTTCAAACGTGTCACCTATAATAAATAAACAAAAAAAAACTTTAGAAAGTTAGTATCTATATAAATTTAAAATAGTTACTTATCTTGATTATTATTATTATTGCTACTGCTGCTAACATTATTATCTTAATAAAATTCATATGATTCGAAAAGACAACTTACATCATAACACCAACTGGGAAATTATTAGGAAACAAGAGATCTAGGAACAGTTGTTTCATTTCCATTCGAGATTTCTACAGAAATGTTTACTCGCTAACCCATATCGGGTCATTGAGAAGCTTGTCGATCCTTGGGTTTTATTTCATGTGGTGCTTCTAACACGCACGATTAAGAGTCACAAGCTAAGATGAGATAAACATTTTACTAGTATCTAGCCTCTTATATAACTCTGTTGTTAAAATAATTTCTTGGAGTTCCCAATGAATTAGTTATGAGTAAAACGTTTGAAATTTATAAAGAAAGATTACGACTGTTATGACTATGAGCAACTTAATAAATGGAATAGGAAAAAGCTGATCTAATATATGCGGCGTATGGAGTAGATTTAACCGTGTTTCACCTCCTGAAAAAAATCAACTTCTAAACGAAAGCGTATGGATTGTAAAGAATAATTATTAAGAGATATGCAATTCACAATTAATAGAATAATAAGATGTAAAGAAGTTACTGAGAATGGGTAATATTTACACAACAATACAAGCATGAAATCTGTTAACAAGTGAAAGCAAAACAACCTCTATAAGTGAGTTAGATAAAAATTCAGACTGTTTTATGTGGTGGTAATTTTTCAAGACATAAAACTGATATAAGCTTAAATTCGCTTTGTTCAAAAACACATTCGAATCCAAAAGACAGAAAACAACTATTCCGTTTTTCCCCAAGCATATATATACAAAATATTTAACACACCATAGACGTGGATGTGACTTAGCATCTAAATTGAAAAGAATTGTCTACTTATTCACCAAGGTTATGTTGATTAATGAAATAGCTAGAATCTTCAACAATTTGTTTTATCACACTTTAAGGTTGAGGTTCGAATGAACGAAGATAAAAGACATAATATGATTATTTCACCATTAGAATATACATTTGATAGAATGACTTATAGCTGATGGAAAAACCGAACAATTGTTATGAAGATTAAGGACATAGTATTAGGTAAATTACATCATGAAATGAAAAATCTATAGCAGGAAACTTTAACCATTATTTACTTAAACAAACTGCGCTGACTAGAATCAGTTTTGAAAGCAAACCAACTTCAGAGCCATGAGTTCATGAAGTTCTTGACTCAAAATAATGTAAAAAGGAAACTATTCGATATGGTATTGGTAGTACATATATATGCAGTTTTTACTTACTCATATAACCAACGGACACCGCCATTAAACACCCTTATATATTCACTATCTTAACAAACCTTCTTAGCCAATTAAACTATACCACACTAGAAATACCGTAAGCATTATGATTATCCTTGCTAAGTTGCTCTTCCTATTACTCCAACTCAGTCTACTATTATATAAGGATTGGCACAATTAGGCACCAAATACATATGCACCATAATGTGTTATTCTCTATAATCTCACGAGTCACCTACTTATGATAATGATCATTAAAAAACCAAGTTTTTGAAAATCTCCGTAAAATAACCAACTCAAATAATGAGATCACGACACAATTTAAATACAAAAATATAAATATAAAATCAACTAAACACAAATGCAACATGAAAACATAATCGATTAATGAATTGCAATAAATAAACAACGGACCAAACACTACAAAGATTTCTAATAGAAGGTAACCGTAAAAATATTAAAGTAAATCAGTGATATTAAACAGTATCGTATTACCTAGTTCTCATGGTGGGTCAACTTTAATCGATTACTATACAATATGGCTATTGGGTTAAGTAACTCTACATTGAAATGGACTAGGTTTGACAATGGATGGTGGAATGAATATTTCAGCATCTCCTGATACCTGACACTCGCACCATCAAGGCATATCTAGAATCTCCAGCTGACTAATTTTCCCCTGAATATTGTTGACAGTAGTTAGCTATCATAAAACCTGGACATCCAATGGAAAAAGGAAATAAATGATAACCTAATCGACACACAAGCCACTAAAAGGAGAACTGGGAGGAAACAACACTGCTTACGTCTTTTATGACAGAATAAAAATGAAACAATCTCAGGGGAAAATATTTGAACAGAAAGTATAGGGACCTACTAAGTAAATATCTGTTATGAAATTACAGTATACAATCTCAGTGGTTAAAGTACTTGGTTTTTAATCAGTGAATCGCGGATTCAGATATTACGTACAGTGTACGTCAAAGCTAAATACAAGAATCTGTTCTCTGATAGTTAAGTTTTATCAAATTAGCCAGGAGCAACCGCTAAAAACAATACGAGCGTGAACAATAAGAGATTATGAACGAAAATGAAAACAAGTTGATAAACATGAAATATGAAATTATTATTATTATTATCCTCAAAATTAAGATAACATATGAAAAAGAAAATAGTAATTTTCGTGTACTTATTTTTTCATTAACATTTTTCGATCGAATAGTTCATTTTGCTAATTTAGTTGGTTATACAAAATGTTTTGATGATTTACCGATATCAGTTTGATAGAAAAAATCCAGTGAAACAGATAAAAGTATTGTTCAACTTTAGAGCTTTTAAAAAATACACATTAGAATAGGTTAGTCAATACATTGATTCATTGTTTAGTGGTCATTGAGACAAAGAAAGTGAAAAAACTGTAATCAAAAGGGTACAAATTAAATACCTACCAGCAACGAAGCTGATTTCATCGCCATCTTGTCCAACATAATCATATAGTGCACGGACTTTTACACCTTCCCGACCATCATCATAAGTTGCATCATTGATTTCTTCAGTGTACATAGAATCGATGCCGCCATCACCATCACCGGCAAAAGCAGCAGCGGAACCTGAACTCATAGCATATACACTAGCATTAACTCCATTAGTTGGTTTTCGATTTGTAGAAACTTTATCATCAAAAGGATTATTTGTACTAAAATTTAATCATAAAAAAAGAAAATTAATTATTGTAAGATTAGTATATATCTAAATGGTTTTGTCACTTATATAGTTTTTATCATTGACTGATTGATCTAAACAACTGGATTAATTAGCTAACTAGCTTTTCCACCCCCATCCCCAAGTAAAAAGAACTACATAATGTGTAGTTAATTCGATTTAGGGTAACTTAATTCTATTTCTACAAAAGGAAACGAGTAAACTATGTGAAAATGTAAGGAAATTATTATTTATTATCAAAGAATACAACCATGTCACTCCATATATGATGTTAGTAATAGCAATCATGAAAACAGACATACGTCATACAGAACGGTTCAATAAGAAGTCTTGTTTTTTGAATATCCATTACGTATATACAACAGTTTATAAACGTTATGAAAATAGTCTATATCTTGAAAAGTTCAAAAAATAACGACAATGGTTATGCTATACACAACATTTTAAATGAAAACTCTCTAATTTAAAATAATATAAGCGACTTGGAAAAGAGTCTTTTACAGAGGAAATGTTTTGTTAAAAATCTATTATTGGAAATAAGATGAATTTTTATGGATTATGTGGATACCGCGTCCAAAAGTAGGTCCAAGAAGATAAGGACAAAATTAATGAAGACACTGGAAAATCAAAGACCAGAAAGTGGAGTTCCTTTCAATCCGAAGCGATAAGTCCATAATTTTCCCAGTGCTGAATTAGATGTAGTACAACTAGAAGCTTTATCTTTGGCACCTAAATCCTGAAATTATGGGCACAGAACCAACCAACTAGACACTGACGTACAGTTTGAGAATTTTTTTTCACTAACAACTGACTTGTTCTCAACCGAATCGAAGGAGCTACCTAGGTTTAAAACTGCGTTAGTCGATGGCTATCAACAATACAAGAATAATAAACGCACCACTAAGCGTCTATTAACCAAGTCGCTCTGGGACGCTTTAACAATAATAAGAAAAGATGACACCCTGACTATAACCAAGCCAGGTAAGGGAGATGTCACTTTAATAAACAAAACAGGATACGTCGTTAAAAAGCTTTACGATCTCATCAAACTCCAAAAAATTATCGATAATAAACCCATCAATGAAAAGATATAGATCAATTAGATCTATACTGCCGCTATATCGACAACACACTCATCATAATAAACCAAAATACTAATAAGGAACTCTTAAATCAGTTCAATAGTGTACACCCGGCAATCACTGTCTATGGTGAGGACGAGTGTGATAATTCACTAAATTTCCATGATATCTGATTAAGACGAGGAGACATGTGTATAAAAAGAGCTCCTTTCCATCCCACTGCACGCTAACTACAGTTTTACACCCATCCTCTACAAAAAACTGATTCAGTGTCTCACAAACAGAGCGGAAAAAGATCTGCTGAGATAACACTATAAGGAAGGAACTGGAATATATTGATAACATATTGACGGATAACGACTAACCGAGAGGTTTTTTAAAGACATGTAAGCGCGGAAATATAAGTTAGAGATGATCAATTGTAAGAAACCCCCATTCTTAAATCTACAATTCAACAGAGATGTGGTTAGCGATGTCCTGGATGAGATATTAGCGAGGACAGTTAATAAACCAATCAACGCAACCAGTCTTGTGTTGACATTTTCTAGTGGACCATTGATATCTACTTGAAAACAAACGATAGATTACCTGGGTTCGCCTCTTCGATGTGCATCTATAAATTTACCTGCTCCTGTGGAAATAACTGTACTGGGTGTACTACCAGGCAACTTAACCAACGAATGAGTTAAAATCTCCTAGCTTGGTTTGGAAAGGGTCAGACAAAGATAATCCTCAGTTATATTTTGTCACACTATATTAATAGAAATTATATGGTAGAAGAAAATAAGACATTTTGAGTGACCTGTAGTATAGTCTGGTTATTTCTCAATGGGACTCGTCACCCACACATACCAGAAGCCGTAGGAATCGGAACCTATAACTGACACTGATGTATTCAGAATAAAGTCATGACACTGTTATCTCTTCCTTGGCTGGATATGACTTAATAAATGATTTTGTTAATTTTCCCACATCCCGTATTAATTTGTTTTCTTTCATCTCCCTCCGTTTATATTCTTCACTACTTAGTTATTTACATACTTCTTATTACGTAATTTTGATAGTGTTTTGTGATTATTTTAATGATCATTTTTTTCCACGTTTGACCTACTTCCATGGAAATTCTGTTATTTTATTATTCTTATCACTACTAGTACACTTGTCTCCTTACTACCAATGTGTACTGTTTACATACTACGCATAGTTATGCTGTCTATTCCATAGTGATCACTAACTGACCTTGATTAGTCTCATATTCTAATTACAAATATTCATGTGATTAGAGTAAAGCTTGATGATGATCTAACTAAAAACGATAATGTTCGCTTACATCTGTGTTGTCTTAATTTAAAATCCCAATTCTTGATACTATTATTATTGTTGTCCATGTCACTGAGGATGTTTGTTGTTATTATTTTGCTGTATTTCAATTTAGAAACAGAATAAAAAAGAAATACACACCCATAATCAAAACAGGAGAAACAGGTCGATAGTATGATGGTGCCATATAAAGAATTTTATATGATAATGGTAATCATTTAGATAAATAGGTCTGAATGTCATTGGTGAATGAGCGACCCATAGAAGTTGTATCCTACAAATGCTTATTTTTCAAATGACTTAACCATGTTTATGTGTTCTCTGCATACTGGGTTTTAATCAAACCTAATGATAAAAGTAAAATGATTTTAAACAAAGTTTATAACTTAGATGATCAAAATACAGGACTTTGACAAGCTTTAGTCTGTAATTTTTATTTACGTGAATATTGTAACCATACTCTCAAAGCATACGATTCCAGGAGAGGTCACTTTTGTGCTTCAGTCTTCAAACACCTATAATAATTTTATCAAACTACTATTATGACTCGAAAAATCACAGAACTAGTGAATAAAACCAGACAGGTAACCCAAATAGGAAGTACTTTCTTGTCTGATATATATACGAAGACTAGAATTGGCTGTGAATAGTTTTTCAGAGTGGGGAAAATAAGGTTGGGAAAAGTAAGAAACTCTATATCAATTATGAAAGAAGAGATTTGCATGTGATATACCTAAACTGAAAACAATGAGTTGCGAGAAGAGTACATACCTCTTCAGATTATTATCAATAAAGTAACTAGTTAGTTATTTTGTTGAGTTACTACAATTGTGTTAACCTATACACACATTATATGATTGATTTCTTTATTACTTGACAGCATTTATTAACGTAAATATGAAAGTGAATATAGGCAGAACGTAACTTGATTATGAATCCTGTTATCTTCAGGTTTATACTTAATTATCTCAAATTAAAAAATTAAAAAAAGAATAAACACAAGACTACAACTTTACATAAATTAATTCCAATGGGAAAATATATTTATACAACAGAAATAAAATGTAAGTGTAATTTACAGTTAACAACGACTAATTATTAATAGTACTGGGATATACATAAAACTGATTATCTGTTGAGTAAACATGCCAACAAGAAAAAAAATTTGTTCAATATAGTTAGGCGATGAAGATATACTTTTTTCCACATAACAACAACAATAATAATAATAAGTTTTCAAGTTATACTTTTAATGTGAAAGCCGAAAATAATATCAAACTGATAGAAACGAATTCGATAGCGCAACATTTGAACATTCAACATAATAGTTGATAGTCATGTGGCTCATCTATTAGCGATTATGTGATGCTTTTATTTCTGTGGTTAGAAATTCCTCTGTCGAATTATTTATTTTTTCTTAAAACTTTATTTATTTAAAAACTATTGAAGATGAAAGTAATCGTGACAGAATATACGCCACTGATTCTAAATTCAAGTAACCACTTCAATCATTATTTAACCATTAGAAATTCACAATGGGAGATTCACCACTTGACTACGTATTTTACTAACAATGTTGGCGTTGAGCAATAAAAATGACATGGATCCTGTCAGGCTAAACTAAATAATCTAGATCAAGGGTTAATATTTCAGTGAGAAAAGTCTACTGTTCAGAGTTAAACAAGTAACAAATAGCATAAAACAAACCTAATTTTTCTATTCACCCTTTAACCAACACTGGGGTTGATTACCATAACCGCAGTCCAATGTTTAAAGTACTAGGGTTTCAAATAATAGGTAATAGGTACGAACTTCGCTCCAACTACTTCAGTTCGGGTGCTGCATGGTATTACTAGTTATCATAAATAAAAAGCAGTTTGACTCAAAGTTGAGTACATAAACCTGTACTTGGTAAGAAAGTTATAAATCAATGCTTCCACCCCCGACCGAAGCTGCTACCTTGATGCGGTGGTCGGGCTTGCCTATCGTGATGACCCAACCGAGCTATATTGGCTGGAACATATGTTCCTGTAGGTTCTACCATGCCAGGCAAGTCGATTGGAGAACGGTAAGACTAAAAGCAGCAACTCAAGGTCTGAGGGCGAAGTCGTACTGCTGACTGTACAGAGGTGTGATAGCAGTAAGGTGTTTCCCTCAGACAACCAGCATCTGCAGCGATGCTGCCTTCCCACAAAGAGGGGTGAGGTTAGAAAAGGTCGACCCTAAAAATGCCACACCTCACCTTACCTCACGGATTACCCTCTCCAGGGGTAAGGCCCTTTGAAGAACGGAGCTAACACGTCAAAAACCTTCCACGAAAAGGCCGTGCGCGACCGGCCTCAAGCAGTTGTCCCTTGGGCTCTGCGGTCACGCTCCCAGGTCGTCAAGACCAACACTAATCCAATTTCCTTTTCAGGTTCCTCAAGATATACCCTTCCACGGTGTGGGCAGCCGGGAAGTGATATCAGCCCTTATACCCGTAACACCACACGAGACCAAGTCGGTCACATTCAAATCCTTCCTACACCTCCTAATACCTCTTATCTCCATGACTAACCCTCCTCACGTCTCT